ACTTTCTTTGATTTGAAAGAGTTTTTACTTGTTTACCCTTTTGACATGAATCACTAATTCCCTTTTCTAATTTGAGTTTAGGAACACCAATTACTAGGTCTTTTGAAACTAATTTATTAATTAGTTCCATATTGGTGTGACCAGTTCTTTTATGTCATAGCCACATCTCTTCCCCTTTAGTAATGAGGCAATGAGCAAAGTCCGTTGGAGTAATTTCAAGGTTGATCATGTAAATATTATCTATGCGATCGCCGGTAAGGATAATCTTGTTATCACAAAGGCGTTCGACCATGCAATGATTAGAAGTAAAAGTAACACGGTTACCTTTATCACATAATTGACTAATGCTAAGCAAATTATGCTTGAGGCCTTCAACCAACAACACACACATTTTCAATTCCGGAAGCTTTGTTTTTGCCAACAATTCCGGTTTCAATGATCTTTCCTTTGTTGTTGTCGCCAAATATGACATTTCCACCATCAATTGATTTTAGAAAAACAAATTTAGATGCATCTCCGGTCATGTGCTTGGAGCATCCGCTATCAAGGTACCATAGTACACTTGATGCCTTCAAGCATGCCTGTACAATTATTTAATTAGGGGTTTTAGGTACCCAAATCTTTTAGGGTCCTTGAGAGTTAGTATGAATATCATAAACATGAATGTGTGACCTCTTCCTATCCTTAGCAATCCATCTAAGCTTCCTAAAACATACAGGAGCTATGTGTCCAACGTGATCACAGAAATAACAAACAACAGGACCTATGTGTCCACTCAGGAGTCATACAACGCAGAATTTTCCAGACAAGCTCATGATCAATGTAATACTTTCCAAGCGGGTCAAGATTGTTGATGATTGTAGAGAATCTCTCAAAATAACTATCAATGCTTTCATTCTCGTTCATTGAGAATAATTCATATTCATGCAATAAGATATCAACTTTAGCATCTTTAACTTGAGATGTACCTTCATAAGTGACTTCGAGTTTAGTCCACATCTCATTGGCGGATTTGCATCTTGATATCTTCCAATAATCATCAGGGTTGACCGCACAATAAAGATAGTTGATGGCTTTGGCATTTTGCATGACATTCTTCTTGTCTTGATCATCATATTCGGATTCCAACTTGGGAACACGAATTCCATCAACAATGTTTGCAGGGGTAGTGTTTCCATGCTTGATTACCATCCATGAGACGAAGTCATTTGATTGTATGAATATCCTCATTCTTTCCTACCAATATGCATAATTTGTACCATCAAAGAATGGAGGACGTGTAGTAGATTGTCCTTCGGATACACCGGCTTGAAATGTTCTTCCGGTCATGATCTAGATTTCCGGTAGTAAAGCTTTGGAAATGCAGCATTGCTCTGATACCAATTGTTGAACAACTTACGCACCTCTAGAGGGGGGGTGAATAGAGGTGTTCTTCAAAAATCAAAACTTTTGGAAGATTAAACAAGAATTCGCAGGATTATTCCAACCACAAGAAGACAAAGAACAAAAGAAGGAGCAACACACGATGTATACTAGTTCGGCCTAATGCCTACGTCCAGTCCCCGAAGCAAACGTGCTCGAGATTCCACTAACTTCATCAACCTTAACGGAGTTTGACAATCCGATTACAACTCGAGAACTTGAATTCACAAGCCTCTAAGCTTTCCACCATAGTCTTGATTTCACAAGACTCAGGATTTCTCTCCAAAACTTGAATTATAACAACTTCAAGTTTTTACAATTCACACACCGTTACAAAACAAAGTGCATAGCCGAAATACTCTTCAAATTAAGAGTGGATCGCTGTAGAATACAAGATCTTATAGAGTATGGCACACTAGTACTCTCCAAAACTCAAGCAGATAGAGATTTCTTAAAGAATCGCTTGGAAGTATTGTTGAAGGATCAAAAGTATGAATTGAAAATGCTTGGATTGTTAAAAGAATATGTTTGAATGAATATATATAATGTTCTTCAAGCAAAAGAGCCGTTGTATGTATGTTATGGAAGATAAAGATGGATAACTTCCTTAAAAACTGACAAATCTGTAGTTCAAACTGACGACTTATTCGAATAAACTCAGACTTATCCGAATAGATTAGAGTGAAAAACGCAGACTTATTCGACTAAGTCACTGTAGGATTGAAGAAATGAGCTTCAGGACTTATTCGAATAATTTGCTAACTATTCGAATAGAGAAGAGTTAAGAACTCTGACTTATTCGAATAAAACAAGGGTTATTCAAATAGTTCACTTTGAATCCAAAAAGAAAGTCCACAACTATTCGAATAATTTCAGAACTATTCAAATAGTTCTCACAGTGTTGAAAATGTTATTTTGCAACTGACTCAAAAATAGTTTGAAGGGTTTTTGGAAAACATTTTCAAGGAGGGAAAATAACTAACGTGCCATACACTTTAACAAAAATGCTAAGACCAAAACGAAAACCAAAAACACTATATCTTCACACTTGTCTTGAGATCCAATGCATGATTGTGAAGATCAACACCCAAAGTGCCAAGCCCATGAGATAGTTGTCATTATCAAAACACAAGGGTCAACATAAACATGTTAGGATTCTACAATAGGAAAGAATATGTGTACAATAAATATAGAATATATATTTAACATAAATATAGAATATATTTAACAAGAAGGAAGAAAAAATAGGAAAAAAAAATGAAGAAGAAAGAAGAAAAAGAAGAAGGAATAAGAAAAAGAAAATGAATGAAGAAGGAGAAGAAGGAGAAAAAGAAGAAAAAAGATAGAAAGAAAAAAATGGTTGGAAGAAAGAGAGGGGAAGGAGAGGATAAGAGGGTAGAAATGACTTTTCACACTCAAAAACTTTCCTAAAATAGAAATGGGAAGTTTTTTTATGGACGAACGAAAAAGGAAAGTGGGAAGTTTAATTATGGATGGAGGGAGTAATTTTTCATAATTTGTAGTCCAAATTTGTAAAATATGACTAAAAAGTCAAAAACGAAAGATTATTTAGGGTAGAGATAATATAATTAGAAAAAATATAAAATAATATGAGGTATTTAATTGATGATAGATTGATAAATGTGATAAAACATTAAAAAACATGGATAATTAAGTTTTAATTAGAAAATAATATATATCCAAAATATATTTTATCAAAAACCGAAATATATCCGAACCGAACTCGATCCGAAACTGAAATATATCCGATTCAAATTGTATCCGAACTGAAATTTATCCGAATCGATTTATAACTAAACCATATCTAAACTGACTCAAAACCGAACAGAACCAAAAAATGTATGAAACCGAATCAAATTCGAATCGAAATTAAATTGGTCCGACCCAAACCAAACCCATTATAACATATATTCGAAAGATATCCGAACCGAAAAAATCTAACCCGAAACCGATCCGGTTGACCCGATTGCCACCTCTAGCTGCAATGGTAGGGTGTTTGGGTTTATGAACAAATCTAAACCCTACCCTTCTGTTTTTTAATTTTCTTTCCTTTCAGCTACTAGATAGGAGTTACTACAAGTTAATCTTTTGCAGGGTGTCACAATATTAATAGTCTTTTTTTGCAATTTGGGTGGGGTATATTTATTCCAAACCCAATCTCTCCACACAGGCTTTTCCCTTTCACCTTGCAGCCATTCATATCCTTTACTTATGGCATAAGGTTGTTTAATAGGCATACCTACAAACATCTCCTTAACCCTCATCATTTCCTTCCAATAATGGCAAGAATCCTGCTTAGGCTTGTAGCACCAGAAATCACCCCCTTTAATATACCTAGCATGTATCCACCTAACCCATAAAATGTCTTTCTTTTCAGCTATCTCCCAATTTAGTTTCATAATAACTGCATAATTCCAATTCAAAGCATTTATTATCCCTAATCCACCATAATTCTTTGATTGGCCTACCTCATCCCATGTGACTAGGGGTGTCTTTTTATATTCTGTTGTATCATTCCATAAAAATTCTTACAAATTGTCATTATTTTGTTCATCACTCCTTTAGACAAGATAAAGATTCTTGCCTAGAAATAGATTACTCCCATCAACATTGAGTTGATTAGTGTAACCCTAGCCATGTAAGAAAAATGTCTAGTTCCTCATACTGTTATTCTTGCAGTAATCTTAGTGATCAATGCATCACACTCATGGTCCCTCAGTCTAGCACTAGTGATAAGAGAACACAAATATTTGAAAGGAAACTTACCTTCCTTCATATTAGTCATTTCCAGCAACTCCTGCTCTGTGTCATGGTTAACTCCCCCAAACACTACCTCATATTTGTTCCGGTTAATCTTCAGCCCAGTAGTGATTTGAAACTCCTCCAAAGCATTCATAATATAGTAAACAGACTTGGAATCTGCTTTGCAAACAACAATTAAGTCATCAGGAAATGTTAGACTTATTATATTCAATCTTTTACGCATGGGATGGTAAGAGAATACATCCTTTTGGGCAGCCATATGAAACTTCCTTGTGAGGTACTCCATTACGAACACAAATAGCAGTGGAGATATTGGGTCTCCCTGCCTCAGTCCCCTTCCTCTGCAAAACCCATGTTGCTCTCCATTCACATATATTGTATGAGTGGGAGTGGAGATACAAAACAGAATCCATTTAATGAACTTCCCTAGAAACTTCAGTCCGTGTAATACTGAATCATACACTTGCTGAATATCCAATTTCATCATACATCTGGAGGAGCCCCCTTTGCTCTTGTATCCTTTGGCCAACTCTTGTTATAGTAATACATTGTGAAGCAGTTCCCTTCCTTTTACAAATGCAGATTGGTTAAGATTAACAATGTGAGGCAATACTTCCTTTAATCTGGTGCAAATCATCTTTGATATCACCTTGTATACAGTGTTACAGCAAGATATGGGTTTGTAGTCTTCCGGTTTCATTGAGCTTGTTAACTTTAGGATAAAGGTTATGCAAGTAGTATTTATTTGTTTTAAGGTAGTGTCCTCCCTAAAGAACTCCAGTACTACTTTTGTGACCAGCTTACCAACTTTATTCCAGTTCTTTGAGTTGGGAACAGAAAACATAGGTTTCCTAACTCAAAAGAACATTTTACCTCATAAACAAATGACCCTAACTGTTTGTATTATAATTATTAATAACATAATAGGATTAACACCATATGTGGCACTCTATCAAAAAGAAGAGAGAAGTTCAGGAAATAAGAAAACTTCGGGTTGACCAAGTACGATGGGACCGGCCAAAGAATGCCCCTAGTATAAGAAGACTTGGGCATTCCCGCACACAACGATGGAGACAAATAATGGTGCGAACAGTCCATATAAAACCATGTATTAAAAGGTAACATGTTACAACACAATGAGGACAAAATGAATCTCATCTGAGTAAAAAGTAAGGATCAAAATCATCCCAGGCAGAATAAGTTGCGCCGATATCCAGACGCAAGCTATCAAGAGCCCCAGAGGAAATTTTCACATGTGACTTGACAACTAAAAGAAAGAGGGCTGAAATTAATGGGTTCCCAAGGAATGGCCGCATTGTTTCTCCAAGTTTAAGGAGATCAGGAAGCATTGACGTGGTGTTATCTTCCGCCTCACTACTTATGATGCAGCTTGACACGGTATGAAAAGCGAGTAAATTCACATAAACAGGTAAAAATGCATCCTTGTGGTTACCGATGCCACCAATCCAATCATCTCCTCCGTGACTGACAGTATAATCATTAACAAATGAAATCAACTCTTGACAAAACCTCCCCCTCCAAGTCAGCAAGAAACTCCAAATGATATGTCTGTCATAGAATTTAGTGATGGATTCTGAAGTTGGAAGCTTCTCCAGGTGGGAACAGCACATCTGAGAGATCAACAGCTTTTCTTCATGATGGTTATCAATCTCCTTGTCAAAGACACGTCTCACAGGGCCTGCCGTTGATGCCACACGAACATAATTTGCAGTTCTCAGAACCCAGTGGCAAAGAAAGTCAAAATAGTCAAGCCAATGACCAAAAGTAGACGAAAGATGCTCAAAGCTCATTTCAATCACTTTCTCTACTTGGGTGGGAACTACTTCGGATGAAAAGCTACTTAAAGAAGTAAAACACTTTTGTATCACCAGAGAAAGCTGCTTCCTAAGTCCAACATCTTCATCCTCTAGCAGCTTTATGCAAGTAAACCATGATTCCAGTATCTTATGAGCATATGCATTAAGAACATCCTTGTGTTTGTTGCCATCGGGAACTTGTTGGTAATGAGCAAGAAAAGGACTAAGATGCTGAGCTTGTTCCAGCAAACCAGATGCTACTACTGATTGGGCAGCTGCCCTCCGCATGTTTATAGGCTCTGATGGATCACTATGCTCCTGAATAACGTTGATAAAATAGTATATGCGCTGACTGAAGATAGATAATTTAGATGGATCAGAAGGTTTGAACACAATTTTATTGTTTCCCAAGCCACAGATGGAGCTTGTAAACAGCTCAACTAACCGTTTCGTACAAACAGCCATGCAGCAAACAAGCATCTCTCGAGTCTTTGCATGCCTGTTGACATTGTACAAGGATAACACCTTGTCCCAAAACTGAAGGACTGAATCATTATCCATACTCCCAACAAAACTTGGTTTCTTATCTTGTTGACTATTTTTATGATATTCCTGGATGTTGAAAGTGTAGATAATCTTTAAAATACAGTTCAAACATTTATGATTCTTCTCCACATCCAACAGCTTCATTAACATAGCCTGGAGATCAATATTGCTCAACCAAAGCATTTTCATCTCGCTGTAGGATCTATCGCTGCTCCCGGCATTCGAGTCTGGTGTGTTCAGGAAAAGAAGAAGCCACTTAAGTGTTGCAATTCGAACTTCATACGATCCATCAGAAATGGATCGAATAAATCTTTCCTGGAATCTGGTTACAGATGTTTGCATTTGAGAGCTCTTGAAAAATTCTGAATCAGGTGGAGGACCTTTCATCAAAGGCATCAAGTCTTCATTTACTTTAGAAGTATGATGAGCACAATTGAAATACGAATTTGCAGCTTGTCTGCGAAGTTCTGTAATTGTTGGATCAAAGTATGATGGCCCTTTAAAAGAGTCTAGATCTAAGCATTCTGCTGATAAGATCCACAGTAGGTTCCAAATGACACTAACACATTTGCTCATTTGACATGTTCTAGCAATACTGAGCATGTTATCGAGAACCTTCAAAAAGCTGCAGTTAAGAATTGGACAAGAACACCTTTGGGGACTTCCAATCCATGATTTCTTATCAAGAACATGAATCAAGCCACTAAGAATAGCTTCCTTCTTAAAGAAATCAGCCAGGTTTCTACAGTTAGCATCCAGAAGAGAGCTCAGCTGTAAAAGCATTCCATGAACTGAATTGAAAGAAGCATTCAAGTAGGAAAATCTAGACGAATCAGATGTCAAGCTCTGGTTGTCTATAGGAGGCAATTCAGAGGCAATATTTAAGACAACAATTTGCAATTTTTCATTAGACACAATACCAGTCAGAGCTCTAGATGCAAGAACCCGGATCCGAAGATTGTTTTGGACAGAGCACTTTCTGATGAATGGCATGAATAAGAAAGGGTCCAACGCATCACGAGTTTCAGATGTGATTGCAGAAGCTTTGAGCCGAGATAAAAGAATCAGTATAGGGCATAAACTGGGGTGCACTACTTTTGCCTGGCTGGATGATAGATTTTCAGCAGACCCATCCAAAAGCAATTCAGTTGCAATTTTCAGTTCATTAAATAAGAAACTGTGCAATGTGGGGTACCTGCGAGGTTCAATCAAAGAATAGTCTCTATGCATGTTATGTTGAAACAACTAAAAAAAGGTATATGATTTATTTCTTTCAAATGAAGCAATTATCGGATCAGAAATTGACAAGGGTTTGAATTTCCATTTTAATACTGTATATACAAATAGAAAATTAAGCTGAACCAACTGTAGGGTGAGTAAAAAAACATCTGCATTTAATGCATCAGCTCAAATATGCAAGGACACACAGCTAGATATGGTTCAGCAGACAACTGAAATGCTTGGAAAGACTTCTGAGAAAATACACCCATAGCAGAATGACTACAAGTTTGAAACCACATGAAGTGCTAGAATATAGAAAATTCATGAATCTGCAATCAACATCTGCTCTCCATATACTCTAAAGTCTAAAGCTAACAGGAAAATGCAAGGTAAATAACAAGAGAGCAAACTATCAATAAATTTGTAGATACTAAAATTTAGTTACCCAATGACTATAAAAAGAGAGCAAACTATCAATAACAAAATACTTCCTCCGTTCCTGAAAACCTTTCTCCTTTCTTTTTTCATTCGTTCCAAAAAAATTTTCATTTCTATTAAAAAGTCACTTTTACCCATACTAATTCTTAACCTACCTATCACATCACATCTATTCACTATTAATCTATCTATCAAATCCTACTTTTACCCGTCACATCCAAGCATATTTTTGGAAACTCAACACCAAAATACACTTCTCTTAAATCCCTTAAAAATCACAATCTCCTGTGTATGTATGTATATATATATATATATATATATATATATATTAACATAGTTGTTAAGGCGACTAGGCGAGTCTAGGCGCTCGGGTACCTTCTAATCGCCTAAGCGATTAGGCGTCCGCCTAGNATATTTTATAGGTATTAATATAAAAGCATATAATATGAAATAAGTAATTAAAGAGAACATATGAACCCCAAAAAATAAAGAGTATATATTCTAAAATATATGAATGAATGTTGTTTTTCAAAAAAATAAAATTTAAAAATATATTAAGAAAAATAAGTAAATATTTTGATATTTCTAAACTTTTTAAAAGTGAAATAGTATTTAGGCCCAATGCTCTTTTAATAAACAACTATATTAATAAGTGTAAAGGCCCACTCCTCTTTGAATAAACTCAGCCCAATTTAGTTAACCTAAAAAAAAAACTAATTGGAGAGTTAGAGAGTCGGAGGGTTTAGAGGAGCCGCTGGATATCTCGGCAGTTGCGACAATGAATCAGCGTCGGCAAGTAAGGTAAGCTCGATCTTCCTCAGTCTCTCTCTATCTCTTTCGTCTTCCTCAGATCTTCTTCTCCTCCTTCTTCCTCGCTTCTTCGAGTCATCTTCTCCGGTGTTTGCACAAAAAAGGCTAGGTGAGCAGTTAGGCGTCCATATGACCTCGCCCAGACACCTAAGCGTCGCCTAGGCGACGCCATACACATACACACATACACACATTACACACATTACACACATTACACACATTACACACATACACACATACACACATACACACATACACACACACACATACACACATACATACATACATATATACATATATATATATATATATAAGTTTGAAGGCAATAAGGATGACAGTAAGATCATACCTATGGAAAAATTCAAGTCCTGTAAGGGCACGCCTAGCAGACTCACGTTTCTGCACATTGAGAAACCCAATCATTCGCCGAACAAGAGCAGCATATGCAAGGCAGGCACTGTTTCGCACTTCCCAATATGGAGAAGAAAAGGATTGAATTGAGACAATTACTGCATCTGCGGCAAAACCGGATGTATCAGTTGACAGGTTGGCATCATTGAACGCAGCTCTAAGGACATTGAAAGAGTGCACGGTAGGAACAACACCCTCATTCCTACTCTTTGAAATCATTTCCACCACAGCCCCATTAGGTACTAGTGTTGACCCAATGGACAAACTAAAATTAGAATCTGATGTATTTGTTTTAATTACATCTGTTAAAGAGCTCTTAGCTACATTTATTAGCCATCTCAATGCCTTGGGTAAAAGCTTTTTTGGTGCACCCTCGGGCTCTGACAAGAAAAATGCAGTAAATGCAGCAGGAATACCAGCACTTCTACGAACAAGGGCATCCACTGTTTGCCCTTTGGCAACCGTTCTCTCCATGAGGTGCTCCATCCAAGATTCTGTCAGTTTACATAGCCTACAAATATTGTGGCAATAAATTCAATAATTATTTGCAGTGTGATCAAATGAGACTCCAGCATCTCCTGAAGCAACAAATTCTCAAATGAAAAACCAGAACCTATTCAAATGGATCATGCAAGATTTCAAGGAATCTATGCGCCTATGCCTATTCATTAATTTCTTGCACCCGCTATTGATGTTCTGATTTACAATCAGAATGATACTCTAGAACCTCAAGGAACAAATTCTGGTATGTAAAACACTGAAAATTGTGGAGTATTTAGATATTAAGGCTAGGCAGGTGCCAAGAGCCAGGATTTATCGTGGAAGCAGAGGCAAGAGGAAAAACAATAAGGAAAAATGGCTAGGAAGGAAAACATGTATTCGTTCTAATACTGAGGTATTAAGGAGTGCAATACACATATTTATATAGGAGATAGAGCAAAAGAGTTAGGAACCGAAATGTGAATGTAAGTTATGTGACCTTTATGTGTGAGGGTAAATACATGTATTTATTTACACTGGTGACCCAAGTCCCATTTGTCATCACAATTGCAAGTTGTGACAGTCCCTTCGTACGTCACTCGGCCGTCTCTACAGCGTGAGACACGCAATGCAATGGGAGATAGGTTTTTCCCCTGTAGTGGTAACCTGTGACATTGCCAACTGACACGGTGGGGGAGCAAGCAAAGTATGATGGCATGATTGGTGACCGTGGTACCCATGAGAGCATATTGACAGCAGAGTTGCTGATACGATCAATACTATCATAGAAGTATTATTATTAGTATTATAATTACTACCTCCGTACTGGAGTATTTGTCCAGTTTTGACTTTTTTTAGTCAACCGTTTTCAACTTTGGACCTATAATTAAATAAAATACATATTGTATATTAATTAGATAAAATAATATTTTGAAAATATTTTATATTATAAATCTATTAAACTATTTTTATATCAAAGTCTAATATCATTTTTATTTAACTTGGGGTCAAATCTTTACCAATTTTGACCAAAAAAGTCAAGAATGGACAAATACTCCGGGACGGAGGGAGTATTTATTATTTATTAATACTATAATGAAGATTATTACTATTATTATTATCATCATCATCATCATCGTCATCATTATTATTATTAATTACTCATAAGTATTAGTTGCAGTCTCGGGGGTGGAAACTAGGGGTGTTCAAAAATCAAAACTATCCGATCCAAAAATCTGTCCACAATCCGGGCCGATCCATTCCAAAAAATGGATATCTCATCCGGTGTTTTAGCTTTTGGGTATTTCGGACCGGATATCTAAAAAAAGATCGGTTGTGGAATAGAACATTAAGATTTCGGATATCCGCTCTGAACTTTATATTTAAAAAAATTAAATATAAAAACTAAACTTTAACAACATAAGCTTAATTCAATTCTATCACAATAATTTCCTAAATTTAAGTCCAATTCAATTTTTATATTCTTTCATTTTTTAATGCATTATTTCTTTATTATGTGGATATTCTATTTTCTAGATATTTATAAAATTATGACTCAATTAAAACTCTCAAGGTAATATGACACGAAAAACACTTCTGATTTTAAATCTAAGGTTAATGTTCACTTCCACTATTTACAAAAAAAATATGATCCCGAATATTTTTTAGAATCATCGGGAAAAAATAATGGTCATCAAGGGGCCAAGTCGAGTCGAGTCGGTAAAAAGGAGACTAGTGGACTAGTCGATTAGTCGGCCTACCAGTCGTAAACTAGTAAGACAAATCACAACTAGTATTGAAATTTTTAACATGATATAAATATCTTCATTGACCAAAGATCACTATAGATGTTTATATGACGAAATATCATTACCAAAACAAAATTATGTTTAAAGGTAGCACATAAAGTCATATAACGAAGGGTACATAAGAAAAAAATATCCTTCAATCTTTGAAAACAACGCACCAAGTACCAACAAAGATAACAAGCACAAAAAGAAGTTAAAGATAAAGAGATCTAACTCATGGAGGATGACGGAGAAGAATCGATGAAGACGAAGAAGATGGGCTTTGGCGAGAGAGGGAAGTTGGGAAAGATTGTCGCGATGTACTAATTGAATGAGTGAGGCGATGCTTTTTAGGAGTCTTAAAAATTTAATGAAATTTGAGCAGGGTCGTGTTGGGTAAAATTGGGTTGGACCGAATTGGGTAGGGTGTCCATTGGCGACTAGTCGTTGCTTTAAACGACCGGACGACTAGTCCACCAAAGTTGCTGGGCGACAAACAACTCGCCACCATCAAAACGACCGGACAACTAGTCGGTGCTTGGTCGTCGACCCTCGACGACTTAACAACAATGGATAAAAATAATTCTTAAAATAAAAATTCACTTCGGATATTCCACTGATCCCATCCGAAATTTTGAATACCCGAAGATTTCCGTATTGAACATGGAATGCATTTTGCTAATCCAAAAATTTTGGATATCCGAAAATCGAAACGGATCGGATTGTATATAACCAAATGAGCAGCTCTAGTGGAAACAGATCTTGAGAAGATTAGATAAGGAGATTTTTAAAGGAGATTTTCACAGAAATATGGAATCGCTACCAAGCCATCAACTGAGTTGACTAAAAAAGAACGCATCACTGAGTCTTTGAAAGTTTCCCTTACTAGTGCTTTTGTTTTACAACAACAACAACAACAACCTAGTACAATTCCCCAACAGAAGGCTTTAGGGAGGGTTTGTTGACGCAAGACTTTACCCCTACCTAAAGTAAAGAGGTTGTTTCCAAGAGACCCCTGCTCAAGCAACACAGAAAAAAGTTATCAAGACAAAAAGATCGAGAGAAAAAAAACTAAAGGTTAAAAAATGCGATAAGCATAGTTATTAAATGTGCTTGCCTCTCTCGCCCATGGCGCTTTTGGCGAGCTCTCAGCGCCTCGAGGAAGCAAGGCGGGGTGAGGCGAGATCCCTAAGGCGCGTATAAGCTGGTCACCTTTATCGCTTTTCTCGCCTCAATAACTGCCTCAGGCGTTCGCCTAGCTCACCTTTCAGTAATCTATGCATATTTTTGTTTCATATGAAAAGTTTGTAGTGTTTAAGGCTTTAGGATATACTATGCATAACATTTGTTGCTATATATTATTTCATAATATATATATATATATATATGTATATATGTATATATGTATATATGTATATATATATATATATATACGTATATATATACATGTATGTATGTTCGCCATTTGACCGCCCGCCTCTCTCCATAAAAAAGGTCCTCTCACCCACCCCTCGTCACTTGCCATTAACAACTACGGTGATAAGACAGAAGGTACTAAAACAGATGCAAGGAGAAAGACCCCAAGCCTACAAAGCACACGACAAGAATAAAAGTACCACCCTGGTCCAAATGACTTACCAACTACCCTAATCCTAGCGCACTTGTTTTACGCCTCCCAAATTTTAATATTGAATCCATGGTGGAATGTGATGCTTCTATGGATGATATTGGTGCTACTTTAATGCAAGAGGGACATACAATTGCTTTTTACAACAAGGGTCTAACATATCTAGCAGGCATCAAGGGCATCATTCTGCATATGATCGTGACATTACTTGTTGGGTCACCATTTTGTGGTACGCACAAACAATCATAGCCTTAGACACCTGTTGGAGCAGAGGATTCTAACAAATACCTAGCAGCGTCTTATCCACAAGTTGTTGCCCTTTGATTTCCACATGATTTACAAGCCTGGGAAGGAGATGTAGGGGCTAACAATTTATCTCGTCGCCCCCACCAAGCTGAGTTCCTTCGTTTGGTGGTGTCAATACCTCTTGACTTTTTGAAATTTTGAAGATTCATTGCAGCACAACCCAGTTACTATGCAAATCGTTGATGAGTTAAATAGATCCTAGAGATACTCCTAAGTATATTGTGGAAAATGGCAAGCTTTTTAAAGAATAACCCTTGTAATTGCTGAAAATTCTTATTAACATTGAGGCTTACACCTCAGGTATCCGTGCACAGGCTTAAGCCTTATCGGCGAGATGCAATCGCCTAACTGCCTCGAGGCGGACCACCACGTTTGCCTTTTAAAACCGTGATACCTCCCGTATCCTCCCTTGTTTTCATGTGTCTCTTCTATAACCATCTAAGAGTGTTACCCCGCCCAATCCTCCAGCTGTTTTGCCCCTCTCTTCAGATTTTCATATGCTCCTGGAACCAGCTCCAGTCCTTGACCACCACTGGAAGGCCTCTAGCTTAGAAGTGTTAATTCTATGGAAGGGTCTTGAGGACAAGGCGACTTTCAGAGACGAAAGTAATGATAAGATCTAGATTGCTTATTGCAGAAGGCCATGTCGGCATTTTTAATTATATTACTCCGTACTATTTAATTGAGTTTGTTGCTGTTTTAATTAAATCACTAGTCATTAAATAAAAGGACTCTAAAGTTGTTAGGAATCTTGAAGTCCTAGGTTGGCCTAGTTTGTTATGATTGTGTTACCTCACCTTATCAGTTTGTTATAGTGTTGTTATAAATATCATAGCTTCTCTATTGTTGAGATATATTGAAAATTAGCATTGAGATTCTCATGGCTTCTATTCCTTTTCATGGGTGAGATTCTTATTCAGATTCTGAAAGATTTCTATCAGTCTCCTACTAGTATTTAGTTTCATGTTTTGTTCACAATGAATTACTTGTTAGAGCTTTAATTTAGCAACTAGTTATTTGGAAAAGATTCTATTATCAAGTTTCCTTTCACGTTTTGAAATGTAAGCCTCTTATTAGAAGGCAATTATTACGCCATCCGTCCCATAAAAAGTTTTCACAGTTCTTTTTCTGTCTGTTACAAAAAAAAGGTTCCACTTTAGGAAATTATTTTGGGGGCCCATTTAAACTCTCTTCTACACCACTTTCAACCACCTAATTTCAATTTTCTTAGTCTCCATGCCAAGTCAAATGTGGAACCGTTTTATGGGAGTGAGAGAGTATCCATCATGATGATTATTATGGAATAAAGGATAAAATATTATCTCTTTCTTCCATCTTAGAGCCTTTCAGCTCTCTCCCGGGGTGCGCGAGTTTGGTTCTTGAAACCCTAGATCGGAGTTCTCCCTAATATTGCTGGCCCATAACAAGGAGTTTTAGAGGCAAACACATCATTGGTTCCATCGCGAGGATGCTATGGGCAGCACCGCCTCTGATGATCCTGCCTTAAAAAGACTTCATAACTCCATCTGTAACGTCAAAGCTCAGTATGACAAGATCAAAAATATATCCACCACTGTCGCCTCCCTGGCAGGAGCAAATGTGGAACGAGTGTTATGAGAACTCTTGATTGCTTCGCATATCCCCAAGCCCCAGTCCCATTAGATGAATCCAAAATTGTGCATCAACCACAACCTAAATAGATCCTTGATATCCACAACCCACAAGAAACTTCAAAATAATATGATGACATTGTCGAATCGTTGGATTCCTTGGCAAATGATGGACAAACTCAGCAGAATCAACTTTATCAACTGCTCTTCAACAGCCAATCCCGCTTGATTAACTGCCAAAAACTAGCTACAGCCTAGACTATTGGGGTCCTTTTTGTATGCCTAAATCCCTCCGATTGATAATTGTCTTTCATGGTTCTTTCCAAGCAATGCTTCTTCCCTTCGATTTAGCCCAAAACTTTTACAACCTTTCAACCATTTAGTGTGATGTTCAAGATTGGAAGGTTGAGGACATGTTTGATCTCCAGGAGGGGTGTAATGATATGGTCAATAGTATCTTAGAATTATTACTAATAGTTATTATTATGATTGTTAATTTATTATTCTTATTAGTTATTAATATTATAATCAAAACTATTATTAATAGCAGTAGTAATAGTTTGCTAATTTACTATTATTATTATTTGGTTTCGTGTGTTATTCACAATTAAATGTTGGTTAGGACTTTTATTACACAACTAGTTATTTGCTACAATTCTACTATTAAGTTTCATTTTATGTTTAGAAATGTAAGCCTCTATCCTCTATATAAGAAGGCAATTAGTATCTATTATGATTATTATGCAATAAAGATTTTAAAAGCATTTCACTCTTCTTCGAGCCGATAGGCTCTCTCCTGTGTGCATGAGTTTTGTTCTTGAAACCCTGGGCTGGAGTTCTTCCTCCTTATATCAAAGGCCCATAAAGAGGAGTACTAGCAGCAAACATACCAGTTGCATGCAAGGTGAATCACACTGACAATAGTGTGGTCACTAGGCTGTAGTTGTTCCCTTATATCAAAGGCCCATAACGAGGAGTATTAGCAACAAACATATCAGTTGCGTGCAAGGCAAATCACACTGACAATAGTGGGGTCACTGGGTTTTAGTAGTTCGACCTCGTTCCACAGAAAGTCATATAACCATGCAGTAAAAAAATTAACTGCAAGCCAGGGGTAAACCTGTAGGCCATAGTACCAACCAAAAGGGGCCACAACATTATTTTGAGTTGCCAAGTTTACCATTAGGGTTCAAGGAGAGTGGTGTGCCAAAGCGGTAGAGGCATTGCTCCTTGAAAACATCCCATATCAGATCCGGAAGTTCCCGCATGAGATGATAGAACCAGAGTCGGGAGTATGATTATGGCTGAAAACACCTCGCACTCATTGAGCCACATAGTGGGATCATCCATGCCATCAAAGCAGGGTAGACCCAGCCGCATGGAGTGCAGGGTGCAAGAGTAGTCGAAGGAGGAAGGAGGGTCAAGGGTGACGCATTGATAGAGGTAGGTGTGAGCTTCGGTATCAGGATCCTTGAGATTGCAAAGAACCTGGAGGATTTAGTCTTAGCAGAAATCAGTTGCTCCTGTGTGGCAGCCACACGATCCTTTTTCGCAGAGAGCTGGCACACTTTGGCTTGTAAGGTCATTACTTCATGTCGCAGATTTGCTAAACCAGAGAGTGCAAATTGGTCAGCCATGAAAGCCCACATCGGAATGTTATACCCAAGCCTATAGTTAGCTTGAATATAAGGAAATCAGAATGAGAAGGAAAGTTAGGGAAGTGAAAGAGGGATGATTTAGGCTAAGAAAGAAGAAGACATATCTTTGGTTTGTGGGGGAGAGGCTAGCGCCGAAGTGGGGAAGTGAAAAGGAGAGGAGAATGTAGAAGTTTATAAGGAATTTAGGATAGAAAAGAAGAGAGAAATCAGGGGAAGGAGAGGGAAGCCGAAGTGAGAAGAAGAAGAAGAAGAAGAAGAAGAAGAAAAGGGAAGAAATTTGTTAAGGGAAAGAAGAGGGGAAGGAGAGAAGGCATTTATCAAGTGACTGTTAAGAGATAAACACACTCTTATCTTCACTCGGGTTAACTCTAGTATTCAAATAAGGAATCACACACTTATTTGATATAACTAGAACCTAAAACTCCCACTTAAGAGAACCACTCTTAAGATATAGAATTAGGATTTTCTTTATTGAGTAAGAGAGAGTATTTGAGCTTGAAACTTGTAATATCACCTTAACAAGTCAAGCTGCCATTACAAGGCCATATGGCCGAAGTATTTATACAACAAAATGGGAAGAAGGATACAACAACAAAGAAGGAAAAATACAACTAAGAAAACTTCCTACTTTCCTACAAATCAATGCCAAATCCATGTAATCCTTAATGAGTTGAATGAGGGATCTCCTTTGGTGTTTTGTGGGTAAGAATTTCGGCCATTATGGATCAAAAAAAAGGAGGAAACATGTTGTGGCTTTCTCTTGGATTTATACAACAGAGGGACAAAGCTGCACTGTTCACTTTAGGACTTTGAGTTTGCTGATTTCGGCCCTTTGTGTAGGAAGTGATTAGGCTTTTGTTTTGTGTAATAAAAAGCTTTATTCTTTTTTGAAAATCAGGGGAGAATTTCAGCCGTATTTAAAAGAAAGTGAAGTAAAATCATTTGTGCCTCAAAATGACAAAACATTCACTATTCAATTCCACTTTACTGATTTTGTCCTTTTGTGTGGTTGTTGTTCTCTCATGATTTGGGGCTGGATTTTAGGAAGAAAATGGATGGGGACTTCGTCCTTTTGTTTGAAAATGAAGACAATCACTTTATTTGATTAAATTAAGACTTTAAAAGAAAGGAAACAACAAACAAAGGTTTTGTTTTGTCTTTTTAGTGTTCATTTCAGCCAAGGCTTAGAAATGAATGTCAAAGACTTTACTTTTGGAAGAGAAAATGATTTTTGATGTTGTAGGAGAGGGTTTATGGGTTAGGATGTTCGGCCTAGGGGGGATTTTGGGCAATCAGGGTTATGGCTTGGGTTTTTGGATGGGGAAAAGGAATGAATTCAACCCAAAAAGGATTATAATGTTTAAACATCAATCCCTGATCTTGCTTACCCTTTTGTGATGCATGGTGGGGTATAACACCGAACCAAAATGTTATGGATTTCTGCAAAGGCTCTTGTCACGCATCGCAAAGACTGTGTGGGCCGAGCAGTAGGGGATTGAGTGAACTGTCAAGGGGGTGTTTTTCTTTTTACCTATGATGGGAGTAAGAAGAAGACAAGAAAGAGGAATTGGAGCTTTTGATGAGAACTCATTACTCAAAACACTTGATCGATTTAGTAAAGCTCCAAGACATACTTTATTATTGACTGTTGAGACCTTAAATAGATATTACAATTGGATAAAATAGGAAACAAGTTAACCGTTCTTGGTAATGAATTCGGGACTTAGGTAATAAAATCAATTTAATGCAAGACTGGTAAATAGTGTAGTTTCCATAATAGTGTCTTCTCTTACTAAAGATTGTGATGCTCACTGCTTGCTTATTCATGCCTCATTTGTGTTTAAAATAAATGTCAAAGTTAGCAATTATTTGTAAATAGGGAAGTTGTTCTTTTGAACACTTGGAATATATTTCCATGCTTTTATTGCCTTCGGATATAAAGCATGTGATTAGGTTTGTTTCCAAATTGTTCGGTTTCCATTCTCTGTAAATAAGCCTATGTAATCTCAATCCGTGAATTTATTTAAGTTCAGAAATCACAGTTTTCTTCCAGAAGAATAAACTAAAACCTATTCATATTTATCATAGAAGGGAGAATGTGCCTTCTTTCTCTTGCAATGAGCCAATGACAAATGATTATAAGTAGAGCAATCAGATTTAAGACAGTAAAATACAGAAACAATGTTTTTTCTTTGTTTTTTTTTGGGGGGGAGGGGGCGCTATTTATTTTGTTTTAATTTTTAATGGTGTTGCTATGAGATTATAACTGTTGGCTGTTGCATTTCTGTGTTTCCATCATGAGCAACTTACATTCATGAGTAGGACAAAACATACCTTGGATCATCTGAACATAGCAGTCGGTTGCAAAGGGCCGTAAATCCTGCCCTCGTCTTATCAATAGCACCATTATGCTTCATTTTCAAAAGGACTTCTAAGAAATGGTTGCCAATTATCTCAAGTTGATTCAGGTCAACAGCCGTATAAGATGACAAATGCTCAGCACCATCACCATTTAAGAGACTAGAGTTTGGTACATCATAGGCGGGCAAAGGAACCTTTCTTATTATTGTTCCCAAAAGAAGACTAACCTGGAAAAGCATGAACAGATGACAAAAAATATGATAACATCAGCCATTTCATATAACACTGGACACAATATCATATAATAAAATGGCATCAAATCATCAATTAGATTTTACCATGCTAGGGTTTTTTTAGAAAAAAGGTTTATTAAATAAGATGATCTAGTATATACTCTATGTACAATTTATAGAGAAGGGAAAATAAAATATACCTCTTTCATTGCAAGCCAGCAACCAACCATAACTATCTGATCAATAGGCCCATCATCTTGCTCAGCGTGAGCAGTTTTCATCTCATCAGCTGCTGTTGAGGTAGTCCCATCTGTCTCAGTCAGTCTCTCTGCAAAATGTGCACCATCAACATCCATCTCATCCATTTCATCTGGTAAGTACAATGCATCTGCTGCAACTACCCACAGGGCCAAAGATGTTATTCGCACAACGAGAGCCAAGATCCTCTCCACTAGAAGTTTCATGTTAGAGATATTGGAAACACCAGCAATGGAACCCCAATCAAATTCCTCAAACGCATATCGAAGAGTAAGCAGTATGCCATGAACGAAGCTATTCTTGCATGCTTCAAAAAGATCCTTCTCCCCCTCTTCAACAGCAGCACACAACCAGTCAATAAGTGAACTTATGTATTCTATCGCAGGACTGCTTGATTCAAACTCTGGATTCTCCCCATTTGACAGCTCGGAAGAAGACTGTTCAACAACATTGCATGAAGGCTTAACAAGCCAACCAAGTTCCACAACATATTTCCTGAATATGAGCCGGAAAGTCAGAGCACCTGCATCACTTTCTCTCACACGTGCGCTAGAAACAAGCTTCTTGGCCCATAAAATTGCTTTGTATACCAATTCTGGAGTGCCAATTCCAGGAACCGGTGTAGGAAAATGCAGCAGTATTCTTAAAGAAGTCTCCCTGAGCCGGTCCCAACTATCAACAATTGATCCAACAAGAAGCAAAGTTGATTTAGGTAAGACTAACTCCTTATGGTAAGGATATAGACTGATTTCAGAAGTGTACGAATCAGACTTTCCTTGGGGAGGAGGTATAACACACCAAACATTCAACATTATCAACATTAGCTCCATTGCCATTATCTTTCTCTCATAGGGAGCAGATGGGTAACATGAAGAAAACAAAAAGCAACTCAACCACTTCATAAAATTAAAAAGAGCTGCTGCTCTGTGTTTGGAGGTTTGCTCTGATTCTCCATTAAGTGGTCCAACAATCAAACCTTTACACACTGTAGGTTTCCAGGTGCCCAATTTAATTAGCCTTNTTTTTGGATTTAAGAATAAAGATTCTGCTGCATCCATGCGAAGTGAGTCATCAATATGTGTAAGTGCTAATACAAAATAATTAACTGGAATGTTAACCTCAATCCCCTTTATGCGGACAACAGAGTCAAGAACACCAGTGTCAACACTCAGCTCCTTTTTTTCTAAAGCCAATGAAGAATATTCAGGCCAATCAATGTCTCCTTCAATTAATGCAAGCATACGAGAAACCTTGAGCAGTGAAACCAAAACAGCCACTTGCTGTTCAACTCCCAGAACCATATCCTTAGAACCTAACCTAGAATGAAAAACTTCTGTGCTCTCTCCACTGCATCCAATGCCAATAAAACCAAGCATTGGAAATATACTATCAACATCCAGTTCAAGTAAAGCAGGTAAAGCATATGTATTCAAATTAGAACGCAACTTGGCCAATCCAGAAGATAGTCCAGACAATATTGGAGGCAAGCATTGAGTTCTGTATTTCACATACCCGCCTGCAACACCATCACTACTCCAATACTCATCACGTAAGCACTCAAGGAAACACTTCAGGAATGTTGTTGCAGCACAACACACATCATCATCCACATATGCCATTGTCGTATCAAATAACAAGTCAGGGCTCATATCTAAAATATTCTTTGCCCCCAATCTCTTAGTAAGGGAGGCTAATGGAACATATCGTCCCTTGCAGCGTGGTCCTAAGTGAAGAAGATCAGAGGAAATTTTCCTTAAGAACGAAGAGAATTTCTGACTGCCCCCTGCCCAGTGAAGGGATATCTGAATATCTAAGAGAAGTTCAAATATAAGGTTAACCTGTTTGACAGTTTGACTTAAAGGATCTTCCAAATTATTCCACAAAATTTTCAATATCCTTGTTCCAATCTCCTCTGAGAATGAATCATTGCATTCCTCAACATATCCATCAGTTCCCTGCATTAATGTTTTTATCTGCTGCAAACATATTTGCATCACCGTCAATGCATGGAAATTAAAATGGCTATCACTTGGATTCTCGCATAAATGACATAGCTCGGGAAGAATTTCATCATAAATAATTGTCTTAACTGAGCTGTCATTATCTCCAGAACCACTGGTATCATCACAACCATCATTTGATACTATAAAAAGGGTATTCAGAACTGTTCTTGAAACTGCTGTTAAAATCCCTCTTATCAAACAGAGCCTACTCAATGGAGATAATGTTTGGATTTTAGAAAACAATGTTGATTTCCAAGGAATCGTTTTGGTCACATCCTTTAACTCAAACTTTGGGCATGAAACGGACATATGGTTAAAGACTCCTTCCATTATAAAGGAACCAAGATCAACATGGCAAAGACACACCTGCAGAGCAGCACAAAGGCAGACCCCAGCTGCCACAAGACAATCCCGGGAAAAATCTTCTGAACTCAAGACGCTTGTAACAGTAGTCATGATAGTCTCAAGAAGACTTGGTCTTTTGCAAAGTAGGAGGTCTTGACTGAAATCTCCATCAATGATTTTTGCAGGAAACCGCTGAAGCAAGTAGTACAAACATGAGAGAGCCTCTTGACACTGTTCCATGACAAGGGGTGAAGGCCTAGACCGCTCACTGGTCTGAGACACTACATAACTCAACCCGGATACCACATCCATAGCCACAAAAACAGCCCATTCTTCAACAATCTCGACCATGTACCCCAGCTTTGGAGTGCTCATCATGGACAAAGCAGCTCGTGAAACACAAAACCTCTTCCCTCTACCATTCACACCTCCATACTCATTGCACAAATCTCGGAAGCTGTTCTGGACTAGAGCTTTAAAGTTTTTGCATTTAGATAGAACAGAAATCAAAGCTTTGTGCAGGGGAAGGGAATTCTCCAAAAAAAGAATCTCCAAGTAGAACCTCGAAGCCAAACAGATTGAGCCCTCGTCTGCATAGCCATCAGATAACAAGTCGGAAAAGGCTGCAGCCACATTCTTGGCATGGGTGAGTTGAGAATATGTGGAAGTTAAGGACGCCATATGTTTCAGTTCGGCGAAGAAGCGAGAGGATGGTGTTTGATCCAATGCCGATGTGAAATCTTGAGGAAAAACAACATAGCTGTACGTGTAACGGTGGCGGTGCTGCAATGCTCTCCATTTAGCAGACATGTTTAACCTTCGATAGAAACAGCAAAAAAACACCTCTAGTCTACCGAAGGATATAGCTCTGGTGCGGTGGTGCCTGCCTTCAAGCGAAAGGTTTTGTTTCACAATACAGGGTTTAGGACAGGGACCTCTACCACTTGGTTTTCGAGGAATCTATCAAAAAAATTGATTAGGGATGGCAATGGCCAATGAGGATGCATTCCCTTAGGGTCTCATTTGAATGGATTAGCTATTTGATGTGATCTGATTTAAATTGATTACATTAATATTTAATGTTATTTTTTATCTGATTAGATCGATTTAATTTTAATAAATAATTGAATAGAAAAAAAATTGAATGAGGCAAAATTAGAGTTGGATTTTGGTTAGATGATGGATAGAATTTCACCCACATTTATCCATTGAGTACAAATCCGTCATCCAACTTATATATTTTCCGCTAAAAGAATCATACATATATGCATTTTCATTTAGATATGAAAAAGAGTACTACTGATATTCCTAAATAGAAGTCAAAGATGATAACAATATCAAAATAGCAGTAGTACTCTTTTTTATCTAAATATTAATTTACATTTTCACTACTACACTGCACACTGCCACCAGAACACCATCGTGGGTAGCCTGAAGCTCCATCGTCAATTGCTGGCGTTGGCCAGTGGTCTAACCATACTCCACTATCACATTTTCACTATTTACTCTATTATATTATCAATAGACTGTCAAAATTTCTAATCAATGATAAAAATAATGCACTCATATTTTCGTACCTCATTCTTTCTTCTTCGTACAAAGCCACACATATCTTATATTTTTCTTCTTTCTCCTTTGAACGCCCCCTCAGTTCTTCTCATTTTCTTTCTTCTTCGTTTCAACCCACCATAGTAGCAAATCTAGTGTTGGGAAACAACGATTGGATAGGACACAGGATGTAATGCCCTAAAAACCGGGCTAGAAGTTAATCAATAATTCAACAAATAAGAAATTTTTATTTACGATAATCTATTCTTTGAAAGAATTAAAAGATACTTTGGAGATTCTAATAGTATCAATGTATTGTGATTGATCTGATGTACGTGTTAATGATTTAAATTAAAAGACTAATGGGTACTAATTAATCGAAGGAATTAAGACGGGTCGAGTGGAACTTATAAAGGTTTGTCATTTGATTACAAAAGTTAGATCGTTGGGTAAGGATCGACGAATCAAATCCAACAATGCGCACGGATCTCAATTGGAAGCAAGTTAGCCCGAAAAGTGTGTTTTTTACTCAGACACCTGATTTAAGTAAGGAGTACAAAACCCTAGAATATATGTAAATTATTTTTTGCCCCTACGCCGCGACACTATTTTCTTCTTCTCCGAAGAGTGACAGCAACTGCTCTGGGTTCTTTAATCGGGCGACGACGACCAAGCCAAATTGACGTTGCTCTGGTCTTTTCCACCAACGATAACAGTCAGGCGACGACGGTGATTTTGAGGGACGACGATTGGACAAGAAAGCGCAGCCACCCTCCCCTCTCCGACGACCAAGAGCATGGTGTGACTCTTCTTCGACTAGCAATCGACGGTGGCACATCCTCCTAACGACATCGGCAACTGGCAGCGGCGTCTAGGAGCAGCATGCAGGTCCTGGCAGCAGCGGTGAAGTCAGACGCCAGCGAAGGCTGGGCGGCGAGTTGACCTGGTCCACGGCGAAGGTGCTCCGGCGAAGGTGCTCCGGCGAACGACCTCTAGTGACCGGCGACGTCAAGGTACTAATTGATTGGGTTCGGGCGGGCCTAGGCAGAAGCGGGCTAGTCTGGGCAGCTGCGGTTATGCTCGAATGGTGTTGGGTGTTCTGAGGAGGCTGACAACGAGACCGGGCACCGGTGACAACCTTGGACAGTGGAGATGTTTTCCGAGATGGTCTTCTAGTAACGTTCGTAGGAATAAGACAAGAGAACAAGGTGAGTATGTGGACATCTAACACTAGAATATGCATATATGTTTGAAATTCCGTTCATAATTGTTATCGTGATTGATTTGTGTGGAATACTTCGTTGATTTGCTTGATTGTGGTTCTGGGGATGATATTGATTGAAAAGGGTAGAACGAATGATTTAGGCGTTGATCGATTATTGAATATACGTTGATGAATTGTTATGTTCTATTTGGATTCATTGACGGGTGAATTTAGTCAAATTTGGAATTGAATTAAGAACATATCCATGTCGAATTTTCAATGTTTAAATGTTGGTATGACGCTGAAAAACAAAACATGTACAAAGTTGGAATTTGTTGTGTCGGACAGTATGCGGTACCACCGGGACAGTACCGTGCTACCGTCACACTTTGTTTGTTCTTTCTCCTCTGCCAGTAGCTGTGTCCGTTCGGTACCTAGGTACCGGAAGGACGGTTGGGCCTACCGCCGGGTCGATAGTTACTACCGTGACAGGCCTATCGGCTGGGTCCAATTAGTTCAGACGGTACCTAGTACCGTGAGGACGGTACCCTATACCGTTAAGGGTACTGTCTAGTACATGATACCAGGTCTGTTGATATGTGTTTTCGCCAAGGATTGATCTCAAAGCCTTATGTGTTGGATGATGGTAAGTTTGGGTGTCTACACCCAATACTAGGCTGCTACGTGTTATGATTGTGATTGCTCTGTGTTGATCCAACACTTATGTGAACTGATATTATTATTATGGTGATCCAACCTCGAATTCAATGATAAGAGCGGGCTAATCCAGCACGCAAAACACAGATTACATGGGTGTTGATCCAACCCCATGAGCTAAGGTAAATGTACTTAGAGGAACTCTAGGACTGACTCAAGTACTAGTATTAGGAAAGTCAGAGTATAAACCACGTGGATACTTGCTGGGCTCTAATGGTTAATTAAACCAGGTAAAAACATACATATGGGTCTCCTTGAACTGCCTGGTGATCCATCATGTGGGGATTCCACCCACCCAACGAGGAACACTCTTGTTGGTTAAGCATGACACGTTGATCCAATCATGACTCCAAGAAAAGTCAAAAGTCCTTCGTCTAGTTTAGAGTACAAGTACAGATGAAGGGTGATCCACCACTACAAAAAATGCTCCGTTTTGATGTGAATGGAAAAGGGCCATGTAAATTATGTGATGAACTGTTTACGTGAACTCTATGATATTAAACTTATGTGCATGATATCATGTGATGCTTATGAATTAGTGGATTCGCCTATGTGTATGTTCGAACTATTAGATATTTCTCACTCAGCTTCGTAGCTGAGCGTGTAGCCTTTTTCCCCTTGTTACACGTAGGTACTCATGGAGGGGCTAACCTTGGAATACATCCTGGAAGGCAGCATGACGGAGGAGATGTATGGATGCAGGGATTTAAGAATGTTTGGTTAAATTATAAAGCTTTCGCACTAGTTATATAAACTTTGATATGTATTTAAATTGTTTTGAATTGTTTAGTTTTAAATTAAATATTTTTATTTCTTGAAAAATATCGTATGTGGATACCGATATAGTAGCATCTCGGTTCACTAACCTATTTATTCAAGTTACGCAGGTTGGGATGTTATAGTGGAAAACAAAGTTTTATTGTCCAAATGTTATTTTTACTCTAGATCGCCTTATGAAAGTTATAAGTTATAGTATATGAGAGTACTGTTCTTGCAAAACAACTAGTAAGTGGATGAAGGGATTGATCCAACAAGCTAGCCACAAAAGTATGAGATTTCTAGCGTATCCATGCAAATAATGAAAGATGTTTTAAAGAGAAAATGTGCTAGTAATGTTTCCCTAGAATATTTTAAAGAAATATAAAATATTTAGAATGAAGTTGAGAAAATTAAAACTAATTATTTTTCTCTGGCTTTTTCGGTTGGGGCATGCGCATGAGCACTGTGAACAAGCGGAAGGATTATTTCCTATTTGTAAGGAAGATAACCTACTTCCCTTATCCCATTAGGTTAGTTATTGCAGAGTTAGAAATAAAATCCAATTCCCTTTTCTTCCTCCCCAGGTTTCGGCCCTACTTAAATAAATATTCCAATTTAATTTGTCAACTTTAACTATCATATGACTAAAACAAGATAAATAATATATAACCACCAATAATAATTATTATCGTGTGTGTGTGCTTGTGTCTATCGTGAAGCAACCATCGTGAATGAGCAAGGTTGATGTGTTTGAAACTCTCAATGAAAGCACCAATGATGGGTTTATGAACCCAGGCCTAGAGTACACTAGGTAGAGAGTAATCGAACAAGCTGAGTATGAGTATGCTCTTGATTATAGTATTGATTACGGTGAAGAATTTGATGCCTCCCTTTAAAGTGGAGGGCGGATTATATACGAATTACATGTCTCCAGTAGTTTTCACGCAGCCATTATCTACGATAAGGCCCTTGTCAGGCCCATTAGGTACGGGGTCCATGACGGGGTATAAGGAATATGTGTTCTAATACATGCATTGAGATATTGTACGGGTGCATTATTCATGGAGATGTCCCTCTGTGGGCCCACGAATGTAAGAATCCAATGTAGCTCATGATTTCTTACCTAAGTCCTGTAACGTCAAAAGCTAGGTGTTACTCCAGCAGAGGCCGGGCACTAGTTTCTCTTCTACTTGAGTCCGCCTTGCCAGGGCAGAGTAATAAGGCCGAGTCCATGCTTGTAGGCAGAGGCCGAGCGTGGCTATGCTTACAAGGTCTACTTCCCACGCCGAGTGTGATTCATGCTCAAACCCGTATTGGGCTTTCGTGTTGGGCCGGGTACCCCTTGTCTAAGGTATCCATCAAGCCTCTTTCTTATTTTCACTTCCCCTCTCGCTATTACGTTAAATATTTCCACAGAACTTACTCCACAATATCGACAATCATGTCGATTACAACTGAATTTCCATAGAACTTACTCCACAATATTTTTTGTTTGTCGGCAACTCCACATCATTCGATCAGAACTTTCCAATTCATATATATCAATTTATGGAATCATGTTAGTTTTCTAAGATTGTTTAGCATCCAATTAAATGTGCATATTAACAGTTTTATTGTTTATACATTATTAATCATATTTCAACTCTTAGCCATATTCGTCTCTATTTATGATTTTCAATTCTATGCAATTTATATCATTTTCTCAAATTTTCCCCATTTGTCCTTTTTTATTGGTATTTATGTTTTGAAGCTCGTTTCCAGACACTTCATCAACAAAGTCTGACAAACAATTTAGAAACAAAGAAGGGTTTGTTCCACCATACCCGGACGAATCCAAACCTAGAGTCAGACAATATCTTACAAAATAAGATGGGATTTCATTCTACAAGCATTATGCATCAGTGGTAGGTTTTGACATAAGGAAACACACGATTTAGAGGTCCCGAGATCGTGTAATTATGTAGCAGTACGTTGTTTGCAACTGAGAGGGACACAATTATTTTCCTAATGTTCTTAAGACATTCGTTCAAGAGGGTCAAGACGCCACTTCCAAAAAAGAGACGATGCATTTCAAATCGTGTGGATTTCAAAACACATGTGATATTTATACTACATGGGGTCGATGATTATTTGATTACCTTATTTGAAGATTGTCATAAACATTCAATGATGTATGTTTGATCTAGACCCTTTCGAAAACTCAAAAGGAATCTCGATATAAAACACAAGAAATTTACTTTAAATAGTGTAAAGGAAAATATTGGGACAATGAAGACTTACCATATGTTCAAAGAATTTGTGAGTGGCTATGAGAATGTAGGAATAATGACAGTTGACTTCAAAAATTTTAAACGAGACCTAATAGAAGATATTGTTGGCATTGATGCACATATGTGTATTTACAAACTTTTTATAAAACACGAGTCATGTTCTGCATTTCACTTTGAATATGATGTTAACAATAATGATCAACTTAAAAGGTTATTTTAGTGTGACTCTATAGCTCGAAAGAACTACATTATGTTTGGGGATATCGTCTCATTCCATGCAACCTACGAGACTAACAGGTACTATAGCTTGATGAATGTTATTTTTTCAATTTTATGTTCTTGTCTTTACCTTTAGATACATTTTTAGATACGATGTCTCACATTTCGGTAAGGAAATTCATTTTCACCATCAAAATAGTAGTGGTAGCTTCAAGAGAGTCTCTCGGGGAACTGGACTAGCCACGAGGTGGTGAACCAGTATACATCGGTGTGTTCTTTGCCTTCTCTCTTTTATTTCCGCTGCACTTTCATTTCATAATCCTGCGAAAATTGGTATACGTTCTCAACAACTCTATTCACCCGCCCACTAGAGTTGCACGCATTGTCTAACTAAAAGGACATACTCGAATCTGCATCTACATCCGAAGAAATTGTGAACGAGGCCATTAATTTTTAAGCTTTTTACGGTGTACCTACTCTAACAAACATAACAGTACTAACCCTAGAGCTAGTGCATACCAATGGCAGTGGCAAAAGAATCAAAAGTTCAAAGAAGAAATAATTATGCATAACATGCCAACAAACTGATTACCACGACCGTATGAATTTTCCTTTAAACAATATGGAGTGATTCTTACTTTATATAAATTCATGTTCATACTTCATTTGGTATTAAATGTCACAATTTTGTGTGTTTACTCATATTATGTTTTTAAGTTTCATTGCTCTATTGTCTTTTTTATATATGAAGTGACAAACCACTAATAATATTTCTATCCTATGTTTCATGTCACTCTTTTATTGTTAGTTTGGTGCATTTCTGGTTCATAATACACGCAAGTCGCATCCATTTACAATGCATAATTATACAACTTCCCCATGGGCTAGTACACTTATGATATACCCCGGGCGACTACCAACGACTCTAAAGTCGTTAAACAAATTAACGGAATAATGGCTAAGTGTTATGATTCCTTTTGGACCGAACTTATCAATCCTAAAACCCGCCACATAGCCATAATTTCCCTGAGCCCAACTCCAACTTAAAAGGCCCAGCCATTCTCATCCAATCCAAACCCCAAAATATCCAAAATAATAAACCCAAAACTACATTTATTTTTCCTTCATCCCTGGCCAAAAACCTCATGCCACAACCCTACCAATACCACTCCTTTACACCTTAACTTGGCTAAACAAACAGCCATAAAATCCAAGAC